TACATCGTTTCACTATCTCCCTATGCTGCAGGGTCAACCGTCCGTTGGACAAAGTCCAACGAGGGTCGTATTCGGCCGACCGAAAAGGGGGGGGGGGTCGTATTTGCAAGGGTCAACGTCGCAATACGTAGGTGAGAGGCATAACTTTCGAGCGCTTCTCCAACTACTAACCACAAACGAGTGCATGGCGCACCTCAGAGCAGAAGAGTCCACTGCAGTAGTGTCCATATGTGACTGTTCACGTACACAAATATGCTTCTGAAGAGAACCAATGTCTTCAAACTGAACCTAATGTTAGTAAAAGGGTGACCACTTGGGTGGATTGACTGCTAAAGGCTTACAATAAAAGTTTGGAGAAAAAAAATTTGCCTGTCGACGAGTTCCTAGAAAGAGTTCAGTATCTGTTATGAAGCACAAAGGTTTTGCGATCTTGTGGTATCATTACTCCCCATAAAATTGAGTTTGAAGAGAGCTTGTGAGTGTTTGAGTGTTGAAAACTCGTGTTTTCAGGAGAGTAGCTCCGAAAATTCATGAAAAAAAAACGGTCCAACGGACGATTTTTGAACGGGTCATTGTGGAAACTAGTTCAAGTATTCTTAGAAAGCTCTAACCTTCTAGTTTCTTCCAGGGGGGACAAGAACTGCAAAAAGTTGAATCTGAAGAAAGTTATGACAGCTCAAAGCCAAAAAACCAGCGCTCTGCCAAAAATCGGTCCGCGATTTCCCCAAAACGGTCCAACGGGGCAAATTTTTGACTCCATCAGTTTTGAAAAGAGTTCAAGTATTCGTTAGAAAGCTCTAACCTTCTAGTTTATCGCGCAGGGGAACAATTAACTACATAAAGGTTCTTCTGAGGCAAGTGTCAGTCACTTGAAAGCCAAAAAACCCGGCCGGTTGTGCACAAAAAACGGTCCAACGGAGATTTTTTTGAAGAAATGAAACTTTACAAAAGTTCGAGTACTTTTAGAAAGAAAACAATCTAGAGTTTCAAAAATTTTCTTACCACTTCTCACACTTTCTTATTTGAAGAAAATTACAACCTTTTAAAAATGAAGAAGTGCGCATTTCTGTGAATTCTCAATTCTCTACCACCATAACTAAGCACAATTATGAAGATACTGCCTAAACGTGGTGGTTTCTGAAACTAGCAGTCTCTAGATTACAAATCTACTTGGCGTTTTGAAAAATATTGACGTTGAACAGAATTACACTCATTTGAAAATTAGTAGTCTGCCTTGGTCTATCCGCGCTGGGCCGAGTAGAAGATTGTGCGCGCCAATGCAAACGCGACGCTACCGCGCTCAATCTGGTGTAACGCTCGAAATAGTAGTACGAAGTAGTACGCAAACACACACAACTTACCAAGTGTACAGTACACAATAAGTGTTTGGGGGGGGGTCGTATCGGAGACTCGCCAAAAGGAGAGTCG